AGACATCATCGTGGACCAGTCAGGGACAACATCATCACAGAGCTCTGACTCTTAGGACCAGCCGACGGGCTAAGCCTTTCTTCCCCCGCATTGGGATGCCTTTGGGTAAGACTTAGACTTAGATCTAGATTTAGACTCAGCTGAGAACTCCTCTCTCGGACATTTAGAAAACTCCAGAGAAATCCTTACTAATTCAGCGCTTTGTAGTAACCTAACACCCTGCTACCATTAATGGTTTTAGTAACTTGTAACCTCAGTATAAGCATTTATTTCTGCAGACAGTGGTTTATCACCTGCAATCCATAGAAATCTGTATTAATCCTGTTGCTCTGTTAAAGGTGCTTTCATTTGCTTGCAGAGTTGCTGCACAATTTCGTGCTGGGCTGCTGCCTCATGAGGCTGTGGGAGTCCATAGATTGTGACTGGCCGACAGGTGCAGGACACTGTCAAGTGGATCCGGCACTGACATACCCGGACTTGTGGTGTCCCATTGAACTGTGTCTGTCTGTAACCAGCCACCCCAACTGGCCCGTGCTCAGCAGGACGCTGCTAAATTCTGCAGGTTTAGCTGTGTAAGTCCATAAATCGTGGGCACCGGAGTGCAGAGCACTATTCGATGTATCTGCCACTGTCGGGCCGATACCGATCGATTGATTCGGTGCATCCTCAGTTGTCAGATCCATAGTGCTCGTTTGGGCATCAATCAGGATCTAAGCCTAGCAGCCCCCAGCTCCTCCAGTTATGTGAGGGTCAGTTGGAACACAAGGGCATTTATTTCCTGTTAAATTGCTTTACCAACCCTTTCACACAATAAGAGCATCTAAGTGAACAGCGCTCAAGATATCTTTTAGCACAAGAAATTGTTTTGGCTGACTACGTACTCCCTTCTGACTTCTTAGTTAATCTAATGTAGTTTAGATAATTGCACTATAGTGTAGTTTTATTTCTAAGAAAGTCAGTACTTGTCCTAAAAGCGGACAGAAATGTTTTGATAAATGTTTCTTTAAATGGAAGTCTGGCTGCCGTTGTAACTTAATTTTACCCAGAGGTTCATCAAACATCTGCTTTAATCACAAAGCTAATTTCACTCTTTTTTTTCTGTGCCATTCCAGTCATCAAGGCATTTTAGACATCTCTATTCCAGATGATCCCAATACTTCCAGTGTTTTGCCATGTACACGTGCATGATATAGATGAAGGCTATATTCACAGAATGCTTTCTCATGGAATTTCACTCCTTTTCCTCTAAAGCACATCACTGACATTTACGCAAGTGTTAGAAAATTGGTATTTTATGTCTTAGGGTTACATTTCTCATTCAGTTCAGTGACGCACTGGAATAATTTCATTATTTGTAGTGGGTTCCTTTCGTAAAGTAGCAGCTGTCAAAACAGGCTTGATCACAAATGAACGAAACCATGAATTAGACAAAAAAGAAATCACACAGGACTTAAAAATCAATGCTCTTGTTCTCAGCAGAACATCTTTAGTAATGGCATGTTTAGTAGCATAGAGTTTTTGTATTCTACTGCTTGAGATTAACGATAAACAATAAACATGGAATTCCATAAAAGCCACCAAGCTTGGGTTGTGCAATGCTATTTTGAATTGGAATTTTAAACTTTTGTGAATTGACCATAGATATATATTATTTTTAATTTCTTGACTATTATATAGTAGTTTTCTCAGTTTTATATTAGTTTTAAAATTATATGTAAACTGAGGTAATATATATGAGTAGAAACAGCATCTGTTATAAAGGGCTGTTAAAAATGTTACAAATGTCAAGACTATAAATCAATGTATTCCCACTGAGTCTTGTCAAGTTACCTTAACTTTTTCTTTTTTTTTTTTTTTCTTGTGGATATGTCACAGCATACAAATTCAGGAATTTAACTCAGCTGTATTAACCAGCTAGAGACCCAAGGTTCCTCATATGCACAGTGGAGAGAGATGTTTCCCATCCCATGCTTCTCTGCAAGAACATATGAGCAAGATGCATAGACTGCTTGCAGAGATGTATTTATGCCTATGTACACAGCCTTCTTCATGCATATTTGAAGTTTGATGAATACTCATACACAATTTATGGACTTGTGCTGACTGTACAGGTTTATACTCCTCTAGTTTTGATCCAGAATCTCTTAGCAAATTTACACTTTTGGTAACTGAGTCCAAGACCACTAAACGTAAAGGTTCCCTTTCCATGATTATCTATGAGTTTTGGATCTAGACACTTGTTTTTAGCATTAATGATCATATATTTTTGTTTATCAGTTGAAATATTTTGACAGGAAAATACAAATAAAAGCTTCTCAATATGCTTCCAACTTAGTCTGTGTCCATGGAATAGTTAATTAAGTAAATATAACCTCTCTTTCAAAAAATGCATAATGATTTCTGCTATTTTTTGTAAGCACTACTAATGTATAGGAAAACAGAAGTTCCTCAAAACATTCTGGAGAAGTTTTAACTGCTCTTTACTCAAACAGAAGTGTGCCTAAAGCTCACACGAAGTTCAATGAATTGCTAACTGGAAATACACCTGGCTTGTCATGAATGCTGTGTTAAATTTTATTACTGTCAACATTTAAAAAAAGGAACCATTGCCTTTTAATAGTACTTTATGTTCCGCAGCTTATTGCTCTGTTGTCTCTGAAGTAACTCAAGCCATTAAAAAAATAATTTCAGGATTCTAAAAGCAACTGTAAAGTGAGCAAGCAACAAACAAAAGTCTGTTTAAGTTTATTTTCTCTTTCATTTCTCTAATTTATGTCTTAGTTTGTTTTTAAAATGCTCCTTTTGGTGTTACGCATTAACAGAGAAACCTACAAGGAACTTTGAGCTTATTCATATTGTATATATGTGTGCACTAAGATATTACATTTTTGCTCTATTCAGACAGGTAATTTCATTGTATGAATGCACAAGCTATTATGATGATGTCCATAAGACTCTGTGTGGAAACATGCTTTTATCTGCAGTAAAAAGTAGAAGTACTGTGAAAAGAATTATTTGAATTACAGAGCTACTGCATTAGCATACTAATTTGAGTTTTTTTCCTCCTGAAAGTCATTTTCTGAAGAATAACATATCATTCAGAAAAAAATGCAACCAACAAGTGAAATTTAATGTTAGAAGCTGTGCGATTTAGTATAATTTCTGTGTTCAGTCTTGAGTTTCATAAAAGAAATGCAAAAGAGGTGTTCATTAATCTCATCATTAGAGATCAAAACCAAATCATCCTTTACTACGAGGTAAGGTGAACCAATGGTGTACATCAAAACTCACTGTATAGTTGCCAGCCAAGTAATATTTTCCGTGTTTCAATACTCAGAAATACATTTCTCTTGTTACAGGTATTTGCCATAAAACGGACTAGTCCGAACTGTTAAAACAAAAAGTACTGCACATTTATACAACAAAGTATTTTTCTGACTTAAGCGTACATATACAAAAAAGTCAGAATTTAAATACAATTAATCAAAACATGTTTTTCTATATCAAACAGGATTTTTATCTTTACTTACTGTATCTGTTACATGCCATTACCTTGGTAGTCACTTCCCCTGACTTAATCCAAAAGGCCATGGAAATCAGGTCTGATCCAATTCAGCAAGCCTGCTTACTTCAATTTTTAGTGAGGAAAATGTTTTTCTGCCACATTCTCCCTCCCTTACAATTCCTCTGCTTGAATTAGCAGGTATTTTATCAAGCTATACAGACCTATTCTTTAGTTCTGCAGGCAAGAGTGCCCTCTAAACCAGAGACATGTCAAACCTTTGCACAATTATAAGTGGACAAATGTTGACTTTTCCAATTAATTAAATAAAAAAGTATATTTTAAAACATTCTAAATATCACCCATTAGAAGAAAAGGGGAAAGAGATTATGTATTTTATTTTTTTTATGTTTAAGATTTTCCAAATCTCATAGATTTGTAGTTTTGAAGATTGATGCTGGTATTATTGCTCTTTCCTACTTAACTTATCATTTTCACCACCATTAGCTGGATAAAATGTCACACAGTCAACATTTACCTCTGCCTTCCTATTAAAACTGAGAAAGAGAGTTAAATGTCTGATATGTTTTGTACTGCTCACCATGACCGATATCAGGAAAGATCCATGCCAATTGAACAAGGAATAACAGATATCTAAGTATGCAACATTTAATTTCTCAAAAAATCAGGAAAATGTTTTATTGTTGCTCTGAGATAATTAGTGAACTACGCTTTATATGCATTTTACATACGCTTCATTCACTCCTCCTATTATTTTATCTCCTTTTTTTTTTTTTTTTTTTTTTTTTAAACTCATATGTGTCAACCAGATAGAAAAGTAATTCTTTTCATTCTGCCCAGGTATTCTTCTTCATTATTTTTGACAAATGTAAGTTGATCTTCTTAGACTTTTGAAATGCAACCATTTGTATTGGATCTGTAGATGATAACAAAGATTTATAGTGCTTCATGTAACAAGCTAGAGCATCACTGAAGGGTAATAACAAATGTTTGAAGAAACAGTCATTTAAGGATATATTGAGAAAATGTCAATGTTATTATTATGGCAGCCACACCACAATCACATTCAATTCCTTGTGTTAAAATATAGGAAACCTACCTTTTGAATCATATATTTTATTATCTGTGAATTCTGAGAGTTTGTTTGCAATTAGTATTCAGAATTACTAATTTGTAAAAGTCAAAATATTTGTGTTACAAGTATTGCAAGACAGAAATAAAAGGAGGATAGTATTTAATTTGCAAACTTATTATCACTTACCTTCTCTGCTGATTGGGCCGTACCAAAAAAGATTGGAATAAAAGCTAACCAAATTATGCAGGTTGTGTACATAGTAAATCCAATGGGTTTTGCTTCATTGAAGGTCTCTGGAACCCCTCTTGTTTTAATAGCATAAACAGTGCATGTGACCATCAAGAGAATACTGTAACCAAGGGAACAAATGAGAGAAAGATCTGAAATGTCACATTTGAGAACTCCCCTGGCATTTTCTGGTTCAAGTGTCCTCTGCTCTCCATAGTCTACGATGATATGTGGTGGATCAATAGCAAACCAGATGAAGACTCCAATAAGCTGCATGGATATGAGGCTGAAAGTGATCACCAACTGGGAAGCTGGACTAATAAATTTGGGAGCCGTGACAGACTTTTTACCTTGTTCAAATATTCTGTGAATCCTGTTTGTTTTGGTAAGCAAGGCAGCATAGCTGAAACACATGCCAAGTCCTAAAAAGATCCTTCGAAACGAGCAGACCACTGTATCAGGAGTTGCAATCATTAAAAAAGTAATGGAGTAACAGAGAAAAATTCCAGTTAAGAGCACGTAACTGAGCTCCCGTCCAGAGGCCCTGACGATCGGGGTGTCATTGTACCGGACAAATGTCACAATCACAAAGGTGGTGGCAATTATACCAAGAATAGCTATGAAGACGGGCACGATGGCCCAAGGAGAATGCCACTCCAGTTTGATTATAGGGATAAGCTGGCAATCCGTACGGTTGGCGTTTGGTCTCTTATTAATGGGGCACAGTTCACAGTTGAATTCATCCACCTGGTAATGGTAGCCCTCACAGCGTTCGCAGTGCCAGCAGCAGGGCACTCCCTTCACAGTTTTCTTTCTTTCCCCAGCTTTACATGGCAGGCTGCAGACAGATGCTGGATGAGTGTGCTCTCTATTAGCCCACTGCATGTCTTCTACCTGTGGGTATAAAAAATTAATGAGCCTTCTATTTTTCCTCATTTATAATATCCTAATCCTGGCCACAGGTTTGTCATAAATCACTGCGTACTGACAGTACAAATACAGTTTACTATAATAAGAAACCTGTTTCTTTCCCTTGTATTGACTTTATGAAAGCACTAAATGATTGTGTCCAATAAATCATTCATGCCACAGGCTTGATGAGTGTCATTAGTTTCTATTTACCTCTTTACTGCTGACCAAATTGACATCTGTAAAGATATTTATTGACTCCAGGCTAGTTTAAAAGCAAAAAGCCCTGTACACAGTGCTTTAAAAGTTAGTCACATGCAAATACAAATACCAGTAGTTCTCAAACATTTAATTACAAAATAAGGCTATGCAAGTTTCAGATAACCTTCTGGTACAGTAAAGAAATAGATTAAAATCTTGCATCAGCTCTGGCAGAACAAAGAATGCCAGAAGAAGATCCATGATGCCACTAATTCCATGAATGGGGATATTTTATACCTTTCCACACTCTAAGTCTTGAAATGCACAAGAGTGTTTTGTTCATATTTCTAGAAGATAAAAATCAGTATACACTGCTACCTGAATAATAATGGAAAAAGATGTCATGGCTACCACTTTAGTCCTCCCGATTTAAAAAGTCCAAGGATCTTTTTGTAGTACAGAACAGATGCACACAATGCAGTCTTGTTTTGGAAATCACAGATTTCTCCACAGTAGTGCATTAACAAAATATACTTTTTTCATCCACCTATCTACTCTTCCTGTATGCCACCTCAAATAAATTCTGAATAGGAAATTCATGGTTTAAAAACATGTCCTGCTTAAAATTATCACTCACTTTTGTGCCAGCTCTCCTTAGCCCTGCCTTAGTAAAGCCATGTTCTGCAAGAGGCCACACTGAGTGAACCAGAGCCCCGCATGGAGCAAAGAGAGACTTGCAGGCATCAGAATAACTTTGTGTTGCTCCCCTGATCCACCTTTCATTCCTTTGTTAGGTGATAAGCACTCAAGGGCAAAGGACTTGCCTTGTTCTTGCCTATTAAGTGCTTAGCACTTTTGTTTAATTTGGAGGCTTTATTTATAAGTAAAACAGCAGTAACAAAACTTCGCATGTCAGGAATGTTTTCAGTTCCTTCTGGAGGAGGACAGAATAAGAACATCTTATTAAGAGGGATAATTTTGGCCTTAACATTTATTTTTCCAGCAATTTTCCAACAAATTTGAGAGAAATGTGACCATGTAACATTGCTGGCCTCATATGCCTTTGTTGGAGAGCCAGAGCACCAGTTACAGCACCATGCAGGGTGAATAAAACAGTGACAAGCAGCCAGGCTCTTTGTCTCCTCTGTCCACTCTTCTGCTCTGTAGAATTTTGCTGTTATTTGCCACTCAAAGGGGCAAACAAGGGACCACACAATAACAAGGAGACAAGAAATTAGCTCACAACCAGCTCTGTAAATCCCCGGAGTCACTTAGGGATTTGGGGATTTCAGTGGGGATTGGACTGGACCTGAACCTACAAAAGTTATCCAAATTTTATATCAAGGACTGTGCTAATTAAATAAAGTGCAGCATCTGGTGACTATCTAAAAGGAAATCATTTAAGTAATTAGATCCCTAAAAAACCATAAGAATAATCCAGTTGCATGAAAACACCTTTGATAGAGCCTAGCAGAGCACTTGACACACCAAGAAAATATTCACCTCTGTTACAGTCTCCCAGTTTTAATCACCAAAATTCTCAATGCCTGCATAACCCCTCCTGTTTCATCTACTAGACAAGAGAGAAAACATGTTATGATGAAATTAGTGCGATAGCAACAACATATTCTCCTTCACTGTGTTGTTAGGAGAATAAATACATCAAAGCTTGTTATTTAGTCAGATACTATGATAATGGGGGCAACAGGAGGCCATGGTCATTAATCCAGATCTGTGGATAAGTTTGGGATAACTCAAAAAAGAACAGTACTGCATATTTGCTGGATTATAGCACACAATACAGAATCACCAGGAGGGTGCACAACACCTGATCCAGCATAAATTTAGAACGGCGTGGATAGGCAATACCTAATCTGGCAGAAAGCCTGACAGGAAAAAGCTAAGGTGTCAAATTTTTTTAACACATTTGAACTAGCAAAGTGAGTTTATACCAGATTAGCATTTAATACCATGAGGCTCAGTGTTTCTTATCTGGCATTAAGCATCCTAAAGCCACATTTACTGTATTGTGAATCCACAGCTTAGATAGGTACACAGAATTCCTTTGTATCTTTCAGAGTTTCTACCTTAATAAAAGAAAAAAGAAAAAAAATCTTTTTATTGCACAGATACTTGCAATTCCACATACTTCTGTCTTGACAGTGATTAAATTGACTAAAAACATGCTTAGAAACTCTTCCTGGTTGGCAATAAATTAGAGTGCCTCAGGTTACACATCCCAGTGGCAACAACGGATAATAAATTCCTATTTCTGAAGGTCACTGGTAAGGATTCATATTACGTTTTTCATTCTAGTACATCTGACACATAAACTACATAAAATATAATTTCCAGCATGGCAATACAGGGTTATGAATGTCAGAAAACTCATTGGCTAAACAAACTTGAGTCTTTTCTCTTTTTTTTTTTTTTTTTTTTTTTAAAAAAGGAGATATAAGCACTATTAGCTGTTAGCAATATAATGATTCAAACAAGAATGAACTCTTAAAGCATACAAAAAAAAAAAGTAAATCAATGTAGGGAATAACCAGAATGAATGGCTTGCACAGGTACATTTTACAACTTATATATATTATATCTTACAATATGTCTTGTTTAGATTACATTTTTTAGACAAAACCTACAGTTACATTTAGGTTTACCTACATTTCTGAAAAAGCTCTTGATAAAACTGTTATGAGTTCTTGCTCATGAGTTTTTTTATTAACAAGAAAGAGAAGATATGTCCCTAAGCAAATTTGTCCAGTGTTTGAAATTGGAGATCCCCTTTAAGATACTTCCAGATCTGAGATTCTGGCACTGTAGGATTTTAACTCTAGAAGTGGGTGCAAAGATGGGGTTCTCCCATGAACCCAACCATCCTGACAACTGAGTTTATAGCTACATTAACAAGCAACGTGGCATAGTAAGAGTCAATCTGTTGAGCAAAAGTGTTGGCTCCGAGGACTTGACGTTCAGATTGGTCAGTATTTGACATTAAAGTCTGGGAAGGAAGGTTGTATTGAACTAATTTTGACGTAGTTCAGTGGAATAAACACTCAGCAATGATTAAAGAAGATTTTATGTCCTTCTGGAAAGTATCTTCTGCTTTCATTTCAGCCAAAAGCAATCAGTTCATATAGCCTGAGGCACATTCCACAGAGAGCAAGTGAGCTAAGTGGGAATAATTAGCAGATTCATTTCAAAAGCAGACTCCTGATTGAAACCAAAATGCTAATGTGTGTACACCTTCAGACTGCTACTTAGACACTACTGTAATAAGGGTAGAGTTAAGCGCAGGGGAAACTATACCTTGGAGTAAGCACGGCTTGCTTTTATTACATCTGAACAGGTCTACTAAGGATTTCTGTACATGCAGCAATTAAAGACTGAAAAGTCATGCTACTTCTGGTCATCTGGTTCATTCCCAGGTATCCATAACCTGCAGCATTCTTTGCCTGTAATGTAGTTTTGAGCTATTATTTTGCATAATATAATTGTAATAAGGAAATTCCAGTATAAGACATAATTACAACAATGGTCTTAAAGTTCTATCAATTTTTTCAGTCACTGAATGTATATATCAAAGGACTCAGCTTCTCGAACCTGTGCAGGAGATTCACCCATGTCATTATTTTTCTAACCTTAGGTTATAGTGCTATTGATCTCAATTCTTCTCTGAGATTAACTTTAGACAATAAATGACAGTAGAAACTGTTAAGAAACAAGAAAGTGAAGGAGGATCATTTGGGAACATGGAGCTAAAGATATTGTATAATTTTCAGAACTACCGAAAATCTCTAAAAGTCATAAACTTTAAAGAGAGTAGCTGGATGCTCAGCCTCTTTTGAAAATCATACTTTTTGATATAGAAATAAACACCTAGGAGTAGAACTTTCAAAACTGCCAAAGGGAACTTCTTCAGTCCAGCTAATAAATTTAAATAGGAACTAAGTGCCTTATCTAAGTGCTTTTGAAAACCTCACTATGCTTCCATCTGAAATTTCCACAGTCTAAATACTTTGGAAAACCCACCTCAAAGTGATCTAGAAGTTCAAATGTTACAAAAGTTCAGGGGAGTTTAACTTCAGGCACGTATTTTTAAACAAAATTCTTATGGGGAAAAGAAACTGACGAAGAAACCAAAGTTAGGCAAAAGAAAGACAAAAAAGAAGGGTATTTTTTACATTGAAAAAGAAATAAAAAGTTCTGCATCTTTTCAGCCCTTACTGATCAAAATATCTGGGTCAGCAGCACTCCATATTGCTCAGACCCTGCTAAGGCTCTCAGTTTATTGAGTAGCCTTAGGTAAACTTACTTTCCAGAAGACTTATTTTGTCACTTTCATTTTTATGTGACATCTTCTAACTGCTGTTCACTACAGTATGATACATGACAAGGTAAAGTTCATTGTTAAATGCATCTGAATTCATCATCTAGGTCAAATGGACTGGAATAGCCTAGCTCTCTATATTATTAATAACAGTTTAAACATTATTATTAATTTTATTTGAGTAGCGTCTCTGAATTTGAGGAAGTGTCTGATAGATTGATGTGCTATCATGAAGTACCTCACGTTGCCCTAAGATGAGGTTCCATTTTCTACTAATCCAATACTTTCCAGAGTGAAAACATCAGAAAGAGTATGACAGCATGTCTGTAAGACACATACTCATTTTCTATGAAATGCATCATGATACAAAAAGAGAATGGTTACATTGCTATTTAAATAGACATAAAAATCATCTGAGGTATCTGCCTGATGGAGCTGCAATTTGTTTTAA